CCTGCTCATTATTAATCCGATGCTCGGATGGCGAAACACAGTATGGCTTTTGTCTAATCGAATAGGCCAAGCCCCTGTTGATAGTGTTACATGTCCAAGGAGCAGGAATTAAGGGCGCTTTGTCTTTCTGCGCAAAGTCGAAGGCAGAGACGCACTTCCAAAGTACATTCACCGATGTCCGGCGTTGACTTGTGCTCAGCGACTTATTCACCATTGACAGAAGAGCCGTTTCAAAACTGTGACAACGATGCTTTTTCGGCACATCTCTAAGCTCGGTCTCTAGTAAGGCCTCTTGTTGTCCGCTGACGATGGCTAACTTTAGACCATCTGGTAATATCACGGGTTCTGTGGAGCAATTTACAGTCCATAAACCAGCGCGTCTACGTCTGATCGACACCACACAATGTGGGATCAATTAACACATTCTTTTTCATGCAGTTGATGTGCACTGGTTCTAGGTTGGCATCAAAGTAGGTGGAGTAGCTGTCGCTGCAACCAACAGGTACACGAACGGTTGATAACGGTGGTGTGATAGTGTCGCCACAGACACACAATGCCGTCTCACCATCCAGAGGGTTTTCCAAGAGTGCTGGCGGAATGTGATCACTCAACACTATTGCACCTTTGCGGTAGCGACAGTCGCACCACACTCCCTCAAAAAGTCCATACCAAAACTAACATCATGTGTCGCCTGCGGAATAATCACGAACTCCGTTGGGATAACGCGGCCTCCGAGAAACACGTCAGCTTGACACACCAACCGAATGCAGTTCCTCACCATTCACTCCGCAAAACTTCGAAGCTTGATTCCACCTAAATAAAACCTTCCGCCCCAAGGTATCTTTAAAAAAGGCACTCATGACCGAAATGGTTGCCCCCGTATCTACCAAAGCCATCACAGGCACATCGTCAACAAAAACACGCACTTTGTTCTTGAGCATCAACACAGGAGGTATTTTTAATATTAGCACGTCTCCGGCGACCTCACCTCCATCGGCCGCGCCTGCTAGTTTTCCTGTGACAACGGAGACGTGTTGCGACACCGTGGTGAAGAACAACAGGGAACACGAGGCGGTGGAGGCGTCAAGCTCCTGTCAGATGTAGGGGAGTGGTTCCGGAAGCTGCGTGTCTTGTAGTCTTCGCGAGGAAGCAGGTGTGTTTCCCTAGGATCGTCGTGCGGTCGATCAGACGATCGTGTGGAGTGTTGGGGTGGGCCATAGTACGTTGCTCGCGGGTCGTCGCAAATTCGTTCGGAAGGCCGTGCAGAGTGTGGTGGGTGGCCATACCATGGGGTTACATGTCGACAGTTGCAAAATCGTGAAATATGTCCTGGGACACCACAGAAGTAGCAAACCATGAGAGGTCGAAACTGCGTTTGTTCGTCAATGAATCGAACATCGTCTTCCCTGGCGTAGTGGTTTGGTTCGTCGCGTACATCATAAGGATAGACCGGGCGTCACGAAGAAGGCTGACGCTGAGGGCGCCAGTCATGGCGAGGAGCTGGCAAGCGTGGTGCTCTTCTTGGTTGTGGTGGTGCGCTGTACTCAACAGCGGCTGCACTGACCATCGATTGCCAAGGGCTCGTAGAAGGCGACGGCGCAGGCACAGCCTCACGTGGCACATATACCGAATGTTGGTCATTTATAGAACGGTAATCAACTGCTGAATGTGTCTGTTCTCTATAGCGAAAAAGTTCTTCGCCAACGATCTGTCGAATCGTCGAGGACAGGTCTAGGCAGGAGCTCGTGTCGATGCTAGCAGCCATTGTAACATTTGTGAGCCGGTTGAAATTTGGAGCAACCCTGCGCATTTTCAGCTGTTCGAAAGTTCGGCAATGCCGAATCACGTCGGACACCGAGCTCAGGTTCTCTTTATCGATGAGAAAATTATAAACATCTTCGGCTATGCCTTTCAGCAAATGCCCTACTTTGTCTTTTTCTGACATATGATCATTGACCACCTTGCAGAGCTTCAGCACATCCTCTATGTACGTGATGCATGTCTCACCTGGAACCTGCGCGCGTTGAGACAATGTCTGCTCAGCCCGCTTCCTTTTGATGCTCGAGCCACCGAAACACGCTTTCAGCTCCGCAACAAAAACGTCCCACGTCGTCAGTGTGTCCTCGTGGTTGTCGTGCCACACGAGCGCAGTATCCGTAAGGCAGAAGACCACATTACTGAGCTGAGCGGCGGCATCCCAGCCGTTGGGCTCGCTGACTCGCTTGTACTGGACGAGCCACGCGTCGACATCCTCTCCCAATTATTCTCCAAAGGTTGGTGGGGCTTGATAGTAGGGCACGGAACCCACTGTAGTTGGCCTTGAAGCGTTAGATGACTGATCTTGGGATATTACGACTGGCGCAGGTGGGAGTCCGGCAAGGCAGCGGCTGCGGTGAAGTCCTGGAAGTGAAGCTCTCGTAGTTGGATTTGTCTTACCCCGCACCTCCACCAATTTGTTAAGCACAATGAAGACCAAGACGTATGCGGCTGAAGGGGCCATTTATTTTAGTCACGAAGAGAAGCGCCGGAGCGGCCAACAATTTTATGATCGCAGTGGCATCGTCTTGTTCCTTTCTCCAGCTTCGGGCAGCCATCCCGTTCACCCATCATCGTTTTCTTCCACGGCATGCGCAACAATATATTCATCCTATGTAAGTGCCGCCTACAGCGGACAATGCAACGACTTAACGCGAAAATGTACCACATTTCTGCTGTCGGCACTTTCTTAACACCGAGAGCGTGAAAGCGACACCGTGCTACGTTTGTCGTAACATGCGTACATGCGGATATGTGCTCGAAGGCGGGTATGTGCTACTGGTATGTGAGTATGTGACATAGGTTACACACTACGACAACGGGGGACGCACAAGCCACGCCTAAAGAACTTCACCGCTTAAAAATGGCACAAAGGAATTGTGTCTGTTCAACAATACTTACAATACCTAATAAATTGCAAGAGTGATTGAAACAATGTGTGATTTAAAAACCCGCATTCCTCGCTTCCTTTTGTGCGCCTACTAGGTTCATAACAACAAAATTATTTGGCTGCTAAATACTGCTCTTCGCATCAGGAAAGTTGCTAACTGCTGAATTAGAAGAAAAAGCCATAAGTTTTAAAAATCTACACATGATATTTGGAAATTGGTTAACTCAATTCAAACTAGATGGCGCCACCACAACGTTGGCGTTCTTGTACGGGGGCCTGTGCGGTGCTGCTCAGTATGTCTTTATCAGCGTCGCGTCGTCTTCTTGGCGTCCCCGCAACGTGTGCATGGGCAGGAATAAAAGCGGGCAAACAGCAGCGCTTGAAACGTCAACTCGGTTGCACTTTTAAATGCAATATCCTTCCACCTACAACATATCACATTGTCGTCATGTGCTCCATGGAACGTGAGTTTGCACCCTAGGCATTTGTTCGCTTTATATTTAGTTCCTGAAGTACACGAACAGTGCATTCGTCAATATTTGCAGTGTCAAAGATTGTCTGAAATTATCGCAGACAAGACCCAGAAAGCATGGCTTAATAAACAAATCTAATCTCAATAATGAAGACGGAAGCTACTTTATGGTTTTCCCCGAGGGTGAGATGAGACTAAGCGATAGTCGATTTTACATTTATTTATTGCTTTCAAGACAGTGGCCGTATAGCAAGCTCGTGTTTGGATCGAAGCGGGCGATGGTGCCTGAATGGGTGCGGCCAAGTTGGCTTCGAGCTTGTGTTGTGTGGTACGCCAATGGTCTCTGGCTCAATGAGTTTGCTGGGACCACTGGCTGGTGGAAGACTAGTTACAATGACGTGATTAAATAATATGGGAGGGCCCACGCTCTGTTGCAAAAAATCGTCTATAGCTGTCCCTTGTGTGCAAATTGAGAGCGAAAGCCAAAATCCTCACCACTTTTGTCTACTCAAATGATTCAAGACAACAGAATTCCATCACAGGTGTGAAATATCAGCTAAGTTTGTGTCACTACGATATCATCTTCACGTCTCCAAGAAATCACATGATGCGTCATCAAATGGCATCACCACTTGGTCTGCGGTCTACTCGTGACGCACGGGCAAAAGTAAAGTACTTTGAAGTAAACCCCTTTTGTCCCCTAAAGGGACCATTTGCAGAAAGTAGTGGCGCTGATGACACATGGCACCAGACTACTGCTTTAAGTGGTGCCTCAGAAGAACGCTGTAAAAAATAGCGCTGTTTGTGGAAGCAGCAAGATTGGAAATATGAAAAAAAATCTGCGCATGTACATCACATTCAGCGACACCAGAGCATAAAACCGTTTTTTTTTATTGTCTGGTGGCTTATAATGCGCATACCTGTAAACTTCTTTCGCTTTTTTGCATTTTTAGCAGCAACTTGAGTTCGTCTGGCAACTAAGAACAGTCGGTGTTTTGCTGTTTTTGTTTTTTGTCGTGCTTTTTACATGGCTGCGTTCAGCTGGGTCAGTGACGGAGTGCCGCGTTTCATCGTGGTCCTGCGATGTCTCAGCGCAGAGACAGAGATAAAGCAACAGTTGAGGTGGGCCTGACTGTCGTCGCCCTCGGCTCCATCGAAGATGAGCTAAACGCTGCGAAGGCAAGAGTGATGAGCCTCAAACAAAGACTCGTCATGAACAGCTTCATTTTGACTGCTTCCGCACTGTCGCCCCGAGCCATCAACCACGAAAGGTGGGCCTATGTGCGCAACTAACGCTGGTTTGAAGACACATTGCCGTTATTAGGCGAAGGTTACTTTAAACAGTGTTTTCGAGTCAGCCCAGCCACCTTCCGTTTTATTGTGCATAGCCTACGCCCTTCGCTAGAGAGGGCCGTCACAACTAATATGCGCGAGTGCATTGCGGTTGAAAAGGTGGTGGCCATCGGCTTATTCAAACTGTGCTCCGTGGCAGAGGACCGAGTCATGGCCAGTGTCTTCGGCATCGGACGATCGACGGTGAACGGCATTTACAAGGAGATTTGCGAAGCCATCGTTTTTGTCTTGGAAAGCGACTGAATCAAGATGCTGAGTCCATCTGAGATGGCCGAACACATTCGGGAATTCATGGCCGTCAGTGACTTTCTCCAAGCTGTAGGAGCCCTCAACAGCTGCCACTTCCTAGTTTCGCCGCCACAAGAACATGCCACTGATTACTATAACTACAAAGGGTGGTAAGCTGATTTGGCTACTTTGGTATTTAACGTTAGCGTGTAAGGTATCGCACCTAAACATCCGAGAAATCCGCATCTGAACCATTCCTTGTGTGTGAAATATAAGTTACAAGCTACCTATATGACTCACAAATTGGTCTCCAGCAACGTCAGTTTCTCCCTAGAATGTGCAGCCGTGCATGTTTCTTGCAATTACAGGGATCCGATGGAGAAATCCTCGCTACAAGATTTCGAGAAAACAAAAAGTCTACTCAGAAAAGACTTAATTGTGCACGCAAGTAAGTGTCGTCAAACGAGAAGCTTGTTGCAAATCACATTTGAGGCCTTGAAGCCGCTGAAAAAATTTCTCATAATTAGAAACATCAAATGGGAATTGGCAATAGTACCTTGCAAAATCCGTAAAATTCTGCGAAGCGTTATAGTAACCAAGACGAGCATAAGTTGTGATTGAGATAGTTTACCCGATGTATGTACTGCTATCTAGACGTATGTGTGTATACGACTTCCACTTCTGAATGGTCCAAGCTAACGTGCCCATTTTTGCACTTTTGTGCCTTAGCAATCTGTTCATTATTTGTTCTCACCACATTGATATATTTATGTCAATATTGCTAGCCTTTTTTAAACCAAAGAAGTGTTCTTACCGACTTTGACTCTTGTGTTAATGACTCTTGTGTTAATTTTTACAGGTACAGCATTATTCTCCTGGCGCTTGTAGACCACAAGTACCGTTTCAGGTTTATAAATGTTGGTGGCCCTGAAACGTGCCACGATTCTTATCTGTATCAAATGTCTAGCCTCTCCGGCATGGTTGAGGGACCACTTCTCAAGGCTCCAGTTGTTACAATAGGAGGCGTTGCTGTGCCACCTCTGGTCCTCTGGGACCAGGCCTTACCACTTACACCTAACCTCATCAAGGCATTTGGATACAACACCCCACTTAGTGCAGAGCAGGAAAATTTCAATTACCACATCAGCAGAGTGAGACGTGTAGTAGGAAACGCCTTTGGAAGGCTTAAGGCAAGATTTCGCTTCACAACGAAGAGAATGGAATGCGACATTGCAAATGCTCGCCTCGTGATTCGCGCATGCTGCGTGCTCAACAACATTTGCGAGCATTTCAGCGATGCTGTTCAGCTTCAATGGCTCCAGAAAGTGGAGCAGTCCGACTCCCAACAGCCCCAACCAGAACGTAGCAGCGATTAACAGATTGGGAATGCAGTCAGTGTGCATTCTGAACTTGTGGACAACTTCAGCCAGAGGACGCAGAGCCAGGCAGCCCGCTCCTATAATTTTTTTTGCGCTGGCATTTGTAAATAAAAAGAGTGACAGTTTTTCTGCCTCATGTTTTATTGATGAAACCAACGAGGGCATTTACAAGCTTTTCTTTAGGCTGAAGGTGTTTTGATCTTAGCTCTACCTCTGTTTGCTGAGCCCACTCCAGCTGCTCTCATAGCATTTTTTGTTCAGCCAGCATAGCTTCTTGAAATTCACATGCTGCGCTCAGTGGCCGCCGTCGCTTCGTTGCTGCCCGTGCTGCCGTACTCGTTGCAGGGCTCTGAGTCGACTGCGTGGTGGGTGCAGGTGGTGGCGTCTGTTCAGTTGGTACTCCTGGCACTGGCGTGCTGTCAGTTTCAGTAGCCTTGGAACTGACTCCGCTCTCCATTTAAGATTTAAGAAAAAACAGCTACAAATATCATACAAAAAAAAAGAAATTGAACTGAGAGGCCGCACACTACAATCGTAACTCTTGATAATTACATTGATAAAATGAACACCACAAACGAGCATAAACTTTCATGATGCTGGACAACAACGACTGATGCTGCATATTCAGGCTGAGGTCTTACAAATGGTATGTAGGCTAGTTTAGAATATCATTAGCAGAATTATGCCACTTGCAGCGCATGTAGCCGAATGATCTGGAAGCATTGGCGCATATGCATTCAATGTGAGTGGATCACGAAACGGTAGAAGATAGGTAAACACCATGATATTTGTGTCGTGTATCATGTAAATATTTGTGTTGTTTATATGGTACAAAAAGGTAGATGCAGTACAATTGCGGCTAAAACAGACAATTTTACATTCACAAACGTTAAGCCTCATTAGACAATTACACACCAAACAGGAACAAGTTCTAGATGTCGGTGGAGGACTTGGTGATCAACGTTAGCCTTATAGAACATTAGAAAATGCAGTGACATGCGAAAATATTCATGTGTGAGTAAATATCGCTCGGTAAGGCATTAATGTACATAAGCCATGATACATGATATTATATACTTTCAGGTAAATTGAAAACATCTGCGAGTCCAATTAGTTCAAAACATCAGCCTATACAATAATACTGGTGTAAGTGCACTAGTACTTGTATTGATTGCAGGGAAAGTGCACAATGGTTATTTGTTCGTTACACACCTTCTCAACAGTGTCGCGACTGGTGTCGCGGCAGCTTTCCTCCGTGAGTGATGGATCCTTTATTTGTAGGTAGCCAATGAACCTCTTCAGTTCACTATAGTAGGGCCACGTTGGTGGTGAGGAGCCTGTTGTGAGCTCTCACACAATTTTTCTAAGAAATAAAGATCTCAGTCGCTTTCAGTTATCAAGCAACATAGGAAGACCCGATTATATTATGACCAGCACAGAAATATATAAATACAACCTATGCAAGCTTTTCATAATTTTGTTGCTACTTTCGCTTACAGGTGATACAATACAGCTGGCACCTAGCAACATGCTTCGTTTACGACTCAGGGCACCGATCTTGAAAATTCGGCCTGAGCGGTACAATGTTTGGTTGCTTCTCAAGCATAAACACTCATGTGACTCGAGGCGTGGTAAAGGCTGGAACCCAGTTTCCGGCGCAGAAAGACTCTTGTACCGCTTCTTACGAAGGTGAACACGTTTATTTACATATTTATACGTTTTTTTTTCAAAAAAAGAGCGGAGAGACGCACCTTCACATGACAAGAGTGTGCCAGCAAAGATCAGAGAAAGCCCAGCGCACACCCGACGCGCTTATCACCAGGCGTTTTTGTGGGACGTGGACCGCGCATGGTAGGGACGCCATTGAGCGTCTGTTGCCACGCACTCGCAGGTACCGTGGAGTCCCGCGTTCCTCGATATGTGAGGTGTCCATGCATGTCGGGTTTTACAGGCCCGATCTTAACACACACTAAACAAGCAAGCGGGACGCGCGCGACAACGTGTAGCGTGAGTGACCGTCTTATCTGAATGTCTGTGTCAAGTTGTCAATTTTGCTGTGAACTTGCGCCTGTGTACGGGGAATACCGGCGTCGGTGAGGCTTTCGGCAATCGCCTGGTACACTCCACCGTTGTGTTTTTGCCCTCGCAAGGCGTCCAAATGGTCCTTCCATAGCTTTATCAGCGCCCTGGTATCCTTTTCAGGCCACTGGATGCGCGGTTTTTTCTTCGCCGACTGAGCCGACTCTATTGTTACAAGATACTACGTCCCCGACACAGCAACTGCCACTGCCAACCCTAACATGATCGCGCTAGTGACGTAATGCAGGTGTTTGAGAGTATAAACAGATTATAGGCCTTCACTTTTCAACAAATCGCACTGCTGCTGAATATGAAAACAATTTCTCGGCGCAAAAAAAAATACTGACAGGGCACCGCAGTGTTGCGACACATTTTCTTCTATTGATAAATTATGCACACTGTATGCGAGAGTACTCCCTTCCTGCCAGAAAAGTAGACGCAGGATCTGCTTTTGCGAAAAGGATCTTTGCCGGAAAGTAGTTACTCTTTTGTCGTGTGTCACTGTGCCCGAACGCCTTTCTGAAAGATGTCCCCTTGTCTAAAGGACTTCAGGGTGCCCGTGTGTCAGGGCATCATATAGGCATCACGAAAACCTCAGCCAGCTCCGCCTGCCATGTAGTGCCGAGACAGCGAAGCTGATGGTCTGTTATTGGATTTGATGAAGTGTGTAAACCAAATGAAATGTTCGTGTCTTTCGTAATAGGCCGTAGGGATGAGTTGTGCGACTAATGAGAAGTGGGTGTGGAGGGAGGAGTGGAACATATACTTTGTAGAATTTATTCACTGTCTGTGGGTGAAACCCACTACGTCTTACAACGTACGATAGCCCCCCTATTCAGAAGCCTTAATGGCTACTTAAGTGCAGCTACTTAGATTGCCTGCAATTGAAGAGGTACTGAAAAATTACGTTAGGAGGGGAAAACAGGCGGCCCTCTGTTCCTTGCAACGAATGAGTAGACGCGGCGTGAAAAAAAAAAACAACAGTCACCGAAAAGAGCACACACTAGACAACATATCATCATCATCGATTTGATTGCTTTGCGTGGTGCCACATCGAACGCCGACAGGTCAACTTGCCACACACTCCTTCAGGTAAGGCTGCTTTTAAAAATAACTATTATTGCCTAACGTTCACTGCCTGCTTGAGCTTTAGAACTGCTTTACAAAATTCATGACTCCTTGATCAGGCTTCATTATTTTCGTAATTTTTGCAAAGACCACAAAACGAGTGAAAAGGCTCGGACGCTACAAACGGATTTTCCCGAAGTAGTTACTGCGAATCCCCAAATGTTTTTGTTGGGCCGTGCGCTATCGCCAAATAACTCGCCTAGCTTTTGATAGCCTACGAATGCCAAGATAAACCGATTTCACTTTTGTTCTACCCTTCCTCATTTATGTGTTGTTAGTGTTAGCTATTTGACCCTAAATCCAGCCAAGTTATTACGCTAAGGTAATCTTACTCAAGCCGAAGTAGGCTTAGGCAGCGTATTTATACCTGTCGATAGCAAATATTCTCTATAGCCAGTCAATATGTACCATTTACCCGAAGAATACCTAATCAACAAGAAAATGCCCGCAAAACGCAAGGTTATGAGCGCTTGATCTTGAATACACGTTTGATACCAATCAGTAGTCAATTGATAGCCCACTGAGTCTAATCGATAACATATCAATAACCAAAAACTTCTTTCAAAATGCGACGAGAGTCGTGTGTATGCGTGCTTGAGCTCGGATGCATGTTTAACTCTGATTGATAGCGAGTCAATCGTCAATAAATAGTGATCAATAACCAGTCACTGTTCAATGATTCTTACAACGTTTCGCTACAGGGACGGCTGTGCTGATTCAAGCTTAGATACACGTATAATATTGATCGATATGCAACCGATGACCAATCGCTGCTGACTTACAGTGATACTACTTAGGGCCTTGACGAATACAGGTAAGCATTACTCGAGAATAGATACCAATCGATATGCAAAACTAGTAGAACACGATAACAACGCCGGCTATTGGCATGACCGTAGTACACAATATATAAAAAGTAGTAGCGACACTTCCACAGCTGCCCAAGTGTCAGGTGTTTAGCGGCTCGTTGCCACCATCACCACCAACGTATGGCAGAGGAAAACAGCTATATTATATGCAAGTTTCAACCGCGAGTGGTAGCTACGTCGCGCTTATCCTCTATATGGCACGAAGTTGCATTTTTTCAATTGCTTACCTTTAGCCTGCTTTTACTATGCGATTTTAGAACATCTTCATGGCTTGTTAATGGCGTGTGCAAGGGAAAGGAATCGTTGCGAGAACAAGCTTGTTTTACCTAGCGAAATATAGTATTTGAATTACACACGAGAATGCACATTTTTCACTGGAGCATTCTGTGCATGCACACCGGAAACCCTTCAACGGCGCCACCCCGAAACACTTTTGGTGGGTCGTGGTCTCAGAAACCTATTGGCGCACAATCTCGCAGGCAATGATTGTGAAGGAACGCACAAACGTCTGCACTGCCGCGCTGAACGGAAAGCCACCAAATCTGCTTTTGGCTCTTGGCGCTAAGGATGCTGTATTTGTCGTGAAAAAGGCCAGTCCTTCGGAAATGCACAAGCTATGATACAACAGCTTGTGACCAAAATAGTTCAAAAACTCTCGTTGGCTAATCGAGGACAAGCGGAGCGAGCGAGACAAGCAGCCTTAAGAGTATAGCTTTGGGAAGATTAGACCACAGACAGAATTATAGGCGGAGAGTGAGCGGTAGGAGGTCAGGCTAGAGGCCTCCGCGCTGCTTCATGAAAAGCAGAGCCCCCTCCCCCGTCACGGCCTGAAAGAGTTTTTCAGAGCTTGGCTCAGGCTCTCATTTAATGCAAACAGAATGTTATTCATCCTGTCTTGCAGCTCCTTTGCAGTGGAATGTTTCTGCCCGACCATTTTTTTAGGGGTTTTAAAATTAGGATCACGGGTCAGTGACAAGCACGGAGTGTAGCGCTGAGGCCGTGTTAAGAACGAAGTCGCAGGATGACAAAAAATGCGGCGTTTGCACGGCTCTTATGCAAAAGAAAATGTACGAGTCGTACGCATAAAAAAATGCAAGCTTCTTTTAGGCCCGACGTGTGCAGCCGTCGGGTTATCGAGTACAGTCTTGAAAAATTCAGGTCACAATGCTGAAGGCACCACATAACGATAATAGCTCGATGTGGCGAGAAATTCTGCTGTATAGAAAAGCCTTTTCTATAGAAAAACGGCGCGAGTCTTTGCCCGATTGCTTCGAAAAATTTGTGATCTTGCCATCGAAGTACTCAACAAGCGTGTTCCTGGTCAGCTACCTGAAGAAGAGGCTGTCGTCGTGGTTGTCGTGCGGCGCTGGGTCGACGAGGGCACAATACAACCAGTCGGCGTCAAAGTGCCTTTGTCTAGATTTGTGGAAGACGTTGATGTCGACTGTGAAGCTTTTGACTCCATCTGTCGAGACAAACTAAAGTTATCTAACCAACACAAGTCGTGGTGGTCACTCATAACTTTGGAGGAATTGCCATAGAGGTAGGGGCGAAACTTTGACATAGCCCAGATAATGGTGAGACATTCTTTTTCTCTTGTGGAATGGTTAGCCCCTTCCTTTAGTAGGGACCGGCTATCATTCCTAATAATTATTTTCAGTCTATTTAAGGGGAGCACTAAGTCCTATAGTGCATGCGACTGTGTGCACTTCTGTTTCGGCGTGTTTGTCAAAATGCGCAAGTAATGAAAGCGTTGGCAGGCGTCGTTTTAGTTCTTGTATTGCTTACTCCTTCAGCGTTTCCAAATTCAACTCTATGTTGGTCCGGGTAAGGTTAGTGAGTGTGTTGGCGCTGCGGGCAACGTTTTTGATGAGCCGCCTGTGATAGGCGCACAGCTCCAGATATTGACGCATAGCCCCTTCTTGTCAGTGGGGGAGGGGGAAGCATTGTAGTGATGGAGCATGTCTTCTGAGCGTCAGGCCGTTCTCCGAACTCGCTTTTCACGTGGCCTGAAAACTCGTAGATGACGCGGTTCTCTTCTACATTAAGGGTTAGTCCGGAGAACTTGATTGCTTGAAGTACAGGCTCAAGGCGTTCTGTTGAAGTTTGAGGAAAGCAGAACGATGTCGTTCGAGCACACAAACCAAGTCTGCCAATTCAAGTCAGACAGTACAGTATTGAAAAGGCATTGTAAGTCGCAGAGCTGAGTGAAAATAAAAAAAACAAGACCTTGATTTCGAGCAGTGTTGTGCTATGAAGACAATCTTTCCTTTGTCTCTCTCGTTCACTTCATTTTGCCACTGTCCTGTCTTGAGGTCCATCTAAAAAGTACTTCGCGTTGTGGAGTCGATCCAAAGTGTTGTCCAACCGTAGAAAATGATGGACTTCCTTCTTAGTGCTCTGGTTCAGAAAACGATAAACGACACAGAAACGTAGCGTTCCGATGTTTTTCACCAAACCATGGCAGACGCCCAGAGACTCTTAAGATGGCCGAATTACATCATTGCATAGCATTTCATCCACCTGTTTTTTACTGCTTCACGTTTTCTCGTCGAAAACTAGATACGGGCTCTGAAAGATTGGTCAGCCACTTTTTTCCATTATGATACGTTTTTTTGCGAGTGCGGTTTATACTCTCGACGACGATGCGTAGCAGTATTGAATTTAAAGGCTAGGGTTTTGAGCTGGTCTTTCTCCCAGGCGATGACTCGGGTTCACGTCAAAATTTGATTCGGGAGGTCGAATCGTCAAAGCAGAATTAGGATTATCGAAGAGGACGCAAGCATTTCTGATGTCAACGACTTTCTCGAAGTACACGACCATCGTAGCAATGTTATCTTGCCTATATTCGTATCTCAAGTTTGTGAGCAGTATACCTTTGCTTTGCCATCACGCAACTCGCCGATGCCTCTTGCGGCGTAAATCTGACGATTAACAAGCAGGTGCTGATCTCCCTCAATGGCGCCTTCAAAGTCAGTGGGATTTTGGGTGCCGAACGAAATGAGGCAGCAGAGAAGTGGAATCATGACGTGCTCTTTTATGACGTTCAGTTCGCAGGCGTTGTCTGGGTAGGCAGGGATTTTTCTGAGGTTTGTGTTATCGACATATTTTATATTGATGACGGTGCCATGTTGCCATAGCAAGTCAATCCTAAGGATCCCATCCCTAGAGCAGTGTGTACAATCCCGAGCAGTGCTGTACAAGAGAAAGCTGGTGGGTTAAGCCCGCTTATTGATGGTGACTCTTGCTGTGCGAACGCCGACTGGTGTTATTATATGACCCACAACAGTCCGGATTTCAGTCTTGCCAATCTGTCTTCGCTTTCTCCAACTTCATAACGAAAGGCCCGCCGACGACAGAATCAATAGTCGGCTTCAGTGTTGACGAGAGCGGTGATGTTGTGCACGTCGAATTTTACGTCGAGGTAGCTGTTTCGTTGTCACGCTTTGCGGTTGAGTCGTGGCATCGGGTTACGGCTAGTTCGGTTCACTCCGCTGCTTTCACGCTGTGGCGTGACGTCTCCTTCGGGCTGTGAACTTTCGATGTCAATGTCTATTCCATCTTGTGGCGGCTGCTTTATATTTTGTTGTCTCGTCATCATCGTCTTTGTTGTCGTTGGCGGCGGCGGTGGCGGAAGATACTAGGTAGTTTATCACACAGCAACAGCACCTCGATCATTTTCTGCGCCCTGTTTTCCTAATAAGGGCTTGGGAAACAGCCCCAAGTAGGGCCACGTACTGGTGGCACTGGGATGACATGTAGTGCCCTAGTCGGGATGATTGATATGGCTAAGGGGGTGTCCCCTGCCCTACTGTGAGGTAGTCGGCGATGTCATGGTGTCGTTTATTCTTCTGTGGACATGGCGCATCGATGGCGAAACTGAATTGTGTCATATGGTGGTACTGGTAGCAGCGGTACGTGGGCGGATCCTCACCACAAAGCTTCCAGAGTGCGCGGTTGTTAGGGGCGGTGGGCGAAAGGTCAGTTTTTTTTGTCGAGTGCAGCGTAGGCCGGCAGGTGGGTGGTATGGTGTCGATGGTGGTCCAGGCGGTGTCTGGCAATGAAAGTTCCTAAGTGTGGGCTCTTGACATGAGTGTGGAGAGAAAGCACTGCATCGAAACAACAGTGGAGTAGCTTGGGATTTGTGGCTGGCCTGTAGCGAATGAGTGGGCCCTCGTGAATGCTAGATTTGTTTTCGAACAGTGTACGTGATTGCGGCAATTTGAAGCTAGCACAATGGCATCTTTTAAGAAAGTTCTCATACCATTACTCGTACAGTTTCACGCAGTTAATCTGAGCATAACGATTGAATGTCGCCAAAGCCTGGCGTCGACCGGCGACTGAATTGGCACGTACGCATCTGTTCAGTGCCTTTTTGATCATAGTCGCTTCCGAGACGTATTCCGGAGTGGTCTTTGGTGGATTTCTTATTATTCTCATGAAGAGATCCTGTTCAATACTCGCGTGAGGAAAAGAACTTTCATTTTTTCAGGCATGTCTAGGCCATTGTGGCGGAACAGACGGGTCATTTTCTCTACGAATATTGTGACGTTCTTGTTTGGTAGTTATACCTCTGTCTTCAGCAAAGAAGCGGCCCTTTCTTTCCAGAGGATGCTCCTAACCTTGTCCACAAAATAGCCGCAGTTGAGATTCCAGGTTTGAAGAGACGACTCTCGATTATCGAACCAGGTCCTCGCCGCACCTTTCAGGTAGAAGTAGACGCGACACTTCTTTACTTTTGTGTCCCAGTGGTTGTGGGAGGCCACTCGGTCGTATGTTTCCAGCAAGGTCTCCAGGTATTCAAACGATCATGCATGGAAAGTTCGTTGCTCCCTTGGTTGCTGTATCAGGTTCTCGGGCTGTGACACAGCGAACTTCATTGTTATTGCAGTCGAGGTCATGGCCTCGGTATTTTGCGTACGGGTAGAGGCGGCAAACCTTGTTGCCTGCGGCTTGTTCACTGTTTGGGGTGGTCGTCTCTGTCTTCTTCACGACTTGCGCTGGGTTCACGACTTGACGGGGGCGCCTTGTACTTGAAAGGGCCAGAACCTCTGCCAGGCATCACGTAGCCGTAATTTTGACCAATGCAGTGGTCGGTATGTTATAGATGAAGCTTTATTTGACCGAACTTGTGGCTGGTACACGGAAAATGAGATTACAGCAATACACACTGGCACTGATAGCAGTGAACTGAGTGTCAAGCGTTGATCAACTGGCAAACGCTAAAGCACGTCCACGTTGATATGTAGTGTAGAATATTCCAGCGTTATCAGTAGCGGCCACGTAAGTTAAGAAAGGAAACTATAATGTTCGCGTTTTGCCCGTAATCGAATCGGATGGTTCTAAGATTATCTTGATGGGTCTTCGTCTTTCTGTGCAACAAGGCACCTAGTGTGAGGTGATGATAGAAAAATTGGGGAAGAAGTTCTGTAGACACTTCGGAAGAACACCCCAAATTAAATGAAAAAATTGGGGGACCTTTGACTTCGCCTTTAGAGGTAGATCACGATATCTAATCGGCGGTCCTGTTTGCGCATCGCCTTGTGAACTGCTAGCTTTCTTCCGCTGTCAGTGCGTGCACCAACCTCATAATAAAAAAAACGAATGACTGTACACATAACATTGGCCGTTTCAATGTATCATTGAAAGCACTGTTGAAATTTGGGCTTGTTGACGCATAGTGACGACTGAAAATAGCGCCAAGAAATGGGGACACAAGAAGATCACACAAGACACAAAAAGGGACACACGACACTTCGTCTTGTGTCCTCTTCTTGTGACCCCATTTCTTAGCGCGATTTTTAGTCATCATTGAAAGCCTATTGCAAGTTGCAAGCACAGCTGTCAAATGCTCACCACTACGCCATAAATATTTCTTTGTGAATGAGTGGAGGCCCCACTGCGCATCTGGATACAATACGTGAACGTACGCGCCTGTACTCTTTGTTGATTCTTCTGCCACGAACAGTGATAAAGTATGTCAGAGCACTTTGTATATGACGGGCCTCTGAAATACTCCCTCTTTGCTCAATTGATATCTTTTGACGGCTGACGTGTCAAAAAAAATCCTGGTTTCATATACCATTTCGTTCAAGGCTCCCTAGGCGCTACCAAAGTCCTGTTTGGGCGTTTGTTATTGCGCGTGACTCCCCAAAAACTGTACTGCCGCAGCTGTGACGTTGGCTTGGGTACTCTCGTGAAACAGGCCAAAAAGAAGGAAATGCTTCTCTCCGTTAAAAAAAGTGGATAGTAGAACGCTTGGTTTATTGATATGTGGGGTTTAAAGTCCCAAAACCACCTTATGATTATGAAAGACACCGTAGTGGAGGGTTCCAGAAATTTCGACCACCTGTAGTAGAACGCTTGCCCACCGCAAAGACGGCCTGTGTTTGATCATCCCTGGCACCTGGAAATGTTTCTCATTATTTTATTTGCACTTTTCTTAATGTTTTGGTCACGGGCAAGAGGAGAATTTTTCTCCAACAACTAATGACGCCGCGGCTATATACCGCCACCGACGCAGAAATTTCAGCGACACGAGCACTTTATAGCTCTCGCGTTCAAATATAGGCTACATCATCGAGATTACGGTTACCATATGTTTCCGCACAAGTTGGAGATATTTCACGTACGACTCTTTACACAAACAGTAATATTAAGAGAAAAAGTAACCTTACTACCCTGTTACGTCAACAATGACTATTCATGAGCTGCACGTAGCTTCTCGTAACTCTGAACCTATGTGCAATCGAAAGTGAACCACAGGTACAACTATGTATGATTTCGATTATCACGTGAACACGTCTGTAAAGCAGTCAACTGCACTTTCACTTTGCAAAAAAAAAAGCTGTCACCTCTATTTTGAAAGGTAATTATCATCATATAGGTTTCAAGAGATCATTTTCTAACCTGCGGGTATGACAGCGGCTGATCTGCTTTCACACCCAGGAGTGAGCACAGAGCATCAAAAGGTCCTCATGGATGAAGCCAGTCGCAGCAGCAGCAGTAGTGAAGATTTAGAAACGAGTCGTGCTGGAACTTCGAAAGACGCGGCGCCATCCCGCAGTGGTAAAAGGTGGGTCTTTGTGCTTGGCAAGGCTTCCGTAAAAGCATGTCAAAATGAGTTTATCTGAGTTATAGTGGTGACATATTTATGCTATTTTTAACGTAGCTCCGACCGAGCTTGATTTCCTTCAGATTTTAGGAGCTAAGCTCCTTACGACCTTGCCTAAGCTTTCTGTTGCGGTCACAATATAGAACCGCTCCTATAGGTAAAACATATGTGAGGCACAAAAACACGTATTTTAGGATCATGAACATTGGTTAATCAGAAGTTAGGATATGGCTGTTACAGGCGAAAATAAGCTATCGAGAAGAGTGTTCACGAGTTCATTTTACTCAGATGTGATTAAACGTAAGATTATCAACAAAACCTCTAGAGCAAAAGCAGACTTCGGCCCTATATGTCCCAAAATACTGCTCATATTAAAACGGTATCTTGCCCCCTGTAAGATGGCGGGTTCTCAAATTCACTTTCGAAGCATCTTCTTCACACCAGCAATTTTCTAAATACTCCTTAAATAGCCTAAGATGATGGGAAGGAGAAATCAATTTACATTTTCATAAGTACACTTCGTGTCACAGTTTACAAAACATGGAACAACGCTTCGGTAACGTAAGGGTACTTACTGATACAATACCCAAACTTTCACCTAATCGTCTTGGTACACTTTGTGTAGATGGGAGAAATTGGTAGATTTTCGTTGATTGTCACACCAAGGTCGTATTTGCTCACCCACTCCAGGTTGAAACGGGAATGAATTACGACAGCTGAAGTGATAGTCAAGTGACTAATGAAAAAGTTCGTGTGAATTATTTGTTGTTACTCACACGAGGGAGTTTTTTTTATAAAAACCGAAATTTGGTGTCACAATTTGTGACATACCTGTTACTTTTAATGCGCCAGCGTTTCTTGTAATTAGGAATATTCTAAGGCAAATTTTTATGGTCAGCACGCATAAAATGCTACCGCTCTTTTACGTCTGTACAGAACTACCCATTTGAAGAAAGTGACGTAACTTGATGGAAGGTGTGTCGGAGCCCAGTCAGGTAATGAAAATTGCCACAATGGCGTAGGACGCACATCGCTTTCTATTTATTATTCTGTGGACGCAATGTGCGGTACGTATGTGCGTCTGTCATCGTCCTTAAAGAGCAGTCTTAGGCAGTAACGAGGTACTTGGAACGCGTTACCTGTTACTAGTTACTCTTTTCGCTAACTTGTATCTGTAACACTGTTACTTTTTACACAGTACATATAACAAAGAATTTTGTTACAGTTTAACGGAAAAGGCCGTTTCAGTTACTTTTCTTTTTATTAAACACACATCCAGCTGCAACACTAGTTAAATTCTAATGTTAAACGTTTTTCTCTAATTCGAATATTTTTTATGCCTAATCTTCTCCCTATATATATATATATATATATATATATATATATATATATATATATATATATATATATATATATATATCTTGAAGTTCTACTTTAAGCTTTCTTCTTTTTGTACTTAAGATGCTTTACTCTGTCCGAGGCTCCTGGATATTAGGGCTCAATAGGTGGCTGGGAAACAGCAACGCAAAACGGCTGAAAGGCAAAAGCCGTGAACTGGCAAAACAAGTATTAAAACGTTTCCAGAAATCTAACGTTTACAGAAAGATAACGTTTCCAGAAATGTTCTCCTTTTCCTCCACAATGGCTTTCTTTCATGAGGCAGTTCCGTCGCGATGTTGATGTGAAAGGTATGGCCTCACCAGCGGTGTTGAACATGCTCCCTCTAACATGAGCGTAGCCAAAATGAAGGAGATACCAACTCCCCCAAAATACTTTCAATTAGGCTTGCATATATATAAACGCACACGGAAAAGCGCACGCACGAACATACATAAAGCATTCTTGAACGCCCCTCCCCCCTCGCGAAAAAGTTTCTGGCTACGCGCCTGCCATCTAACCTTTCCTGATCCTTTGCTGTCCGTTTCGCCGACGTAATTATGTCATTTAGCAGTTCCGAATCGTACTTGGAAACGATCCTGCTCTGATCGTGCTCTCGTGGGACGGGGGGTGCTTAAGTTTCAGGAGCACGTTTCCTTACGGTTTCTATGCTTATCAGATGCAAAACTTTCGAACTGGTCTGGTACATACTGAAGAACATAAGGAATGAACGACAATAGTCAACGTACTTCGCATTGACTTGTTACACACTTTTTATACCTCTTCAAACGCTTTCATAAAAATTCATAGATTGGGCATATAATCCATGCCTTAAATTGTATGGCAACAGAAACGGAACAACGAATTTTCGCTGGCAACAAGCCATAACTGTTTAAGAGCCACAATAAGTGTATTACCTAACTAGAAAAAAGATGCACCACACTCAACGCACAAATAGAATCATAGCTCCCTTTTAACAATAGATGCTGAGTCATTTGAACAGGGGTCGCAAAAGACTGAAGCTTCAAATAATTTTGCGTTGGCTGGGTTCAATATCTAGACAGAACGTACGAATTTTAAAATAGAGTATGACGCTTTCTCTTTCGGTCTAGCGCCAGTGGTGAGAAAGTCGTCAGAAGGGTAATCTGCCTGGAATTTTCGTACACGTATTCATTAATACTTCTGTTAGGAAGTGAAGTGGTGATGAGTTTTCTGGGAATTGTCGTCGGCTCTCTGGGTCCACATTTCTTGCCATCATCAGTCAAGACAATCGAACTTCTAGCTGCCCAAGCTTGCGACCTATCAAAGTGACAAGCTATTTTTCTGTGAAGAACAGTATTACAGCAATTGCTTGCTCCATGTAAGTGATACAAGCAATAAATAGGCGTGTTGTGTCTATATCGCGCAAAGCAAAATAAGGGTAAGATTAGTTTTCGCAGTCCCTTGAATTGATGCACCCACGTTTGTTTGAAACAAAGCTTTTGGGACAGGCTTTGGGACACCCGTGGTGTCCGAAAGCCTGTGAAAAGTAGCTTGCCTGAAGTGAAATGCAAACCCTTTTCAGGTTTCACACACTACTTTCTGCGGACCACGAAATAGTCGGAGCTTCTATTGAAGAAATTTCTGCTGCAGCAACGAGCCTTCAATCAAAATTTGTCACTTTATCGTCACGAATAGTTCTGGTATGATGTAACGGAGTGGAAGCTTTTCGTACGCGCCAGACACAGTCAGTTTCCGATATCGTCCTTGAAATCCTATCATGAAGATTTATATTTACGTGCAACTTTTCAAGCTTTATGTTGCAATTCGTATGAAATTTTCTGTAATGCTTTATTATGCTTTCCCAAAAATGTATTTGTTGGAATCTATAAGTTATAAAAAGCCAGGTCTGCAGCACTGTCAGAGCGAAAGCTAGAAGAGCAGCCTCACAGAGCCTTCTCTTAACACACTTTGGGTAATTGCTACAAGCACACTTGCTCGGTACCCAGTACGCAATAAAAATATTATTTTTGTGTAGCAGGCTGGCATTCACTGTGCAATCCTTTATCATTTTTTGGATAAGCATGGTATCTGCTGCACACTTGCTAAGAATACTACGCAATAGTTTGTACAGTACCTGAGGACGATGATGAATTATGCCTGAAGTGGGCATGCGTCCCAGATAATAGTGAACAAGAACGAGCACTTCTACGAAGATGGGTCGTTGAACAATCCACTTTTTACGCTATTCGCATAGTGAGACACCTGGTTGTTCTTTTGTTGTTTCAAAACGCTTTATTACTCATATTAGCGGCATTCCTTTCTCGACACCAAATCTGCCTAAGGCCAGATTTGGGACGAGTTTCAAGCGCCGCTGTCACTCGGTGGTAGAATGCTGGGATGGCACACAGCGCGCATAGGTTCGAATGTCAATGTGTCAATGGGGTTTTTATTTACTTTATAAGTATTCTTGTTATTTCTTGCAATATTGGTTTTGAACACCGGCGGTGGCGGGAGAGGACAAGTACGGCGCCGCTCGCTACCTGTTTTCTGATCTCACAACTTCTATCGCTGTAAAAGTTCATTAACAACTTTTAGTACTCAGTAGCTTCGGTGTCACTTTATCGGCAAAACAATGTCCGCCAATGCATGTATTGTGTGCGCCAAGGTGACCAAAAGTGCACTGTCAGACTATTTTATAGAGACTTTGTATTAGTTAAGATAACACTTTTTCTGTTCTGGGGAGCACTGGAAGTGCGCAATTTGGTTCTCTCCATATCAGAGATTACGATTTAACATCCTTAATATCTGGTGAGTGACGACCTCCAGTCATGTATCATGCCATTTGTAAATGTATTGTACATGCAGATATCGACTATCTTGATCTTTGGTCCCGTTTTGATGGCCATTTCCTGAAAAGGCGCTGTTATTAAACGAGTGCTTGCGCTGAAACACCAAGTTTATGATGGTCCCGCTATTCCGGTACCAAAGTCAACGCCTTTCGTAACTGTTGTTATCATAAAAATCACACCATATCCACGGAGTGGACGAGGATCAGTGGGGCGAAGTGTCTGTACATCCATCTGTCTATGTGTTCACTCGTCCGTGCGTCCGTTCGTCCCTGCGCCCGGACAAATGGGCGGACAGAGACATAGATGCACGGATGGATGTAAAGACAGACAGAAGTACGGACGGACGGAACAGTGGAAGGGCACATGGACGGACTTACGGATGGGTGGACAATAGCACGGAAGGACGGACGCACAAATGTAAGGGCGCACGGATGGATGGGGCATGGATGAAGGGAAGCACAAAAGGAAGCACCGATGGACGCACGGACGTGTCAATGGGCAGACGAACGGAAGCATGAACGGACAGAGAGGCTGACGTGTGCTTCAGCCTACTCATCATCATTCGCTCGCTGAATATGCTGTGAAAACTACCATCGCCACCTAGGAATATTATTCCCCAAAACATATACACAAAGCGTCATCTATTGTGCAATTAATAAACTAGAAGTGGCTACATGCTACTACTACTATACTACTACTACTACTGCTACTACTACTACTACTACTACTACTACTACTACTACTACTACTACTACTACTACTACTACTACCACTACTACTACTACTAGAATGGAGGGAACGACACGTGGCGTAAGGAACTTCGCCCCTAAAACGATGGCCTAATGGAATACAGCAGTTCCACGGCAACCTTTGGGCTGTCGAGCTGATATCAAATGGCGTTTGTATATTAATGCCAGTGGTGCAGCCAAATATGCTTATGCCGGCCCTCTGCGGAGGTCTGGTGGCTAAGGTATTCGGCTGCTGACAGGCAGGTCCCGGGATCAAATCCCGCCTGCAGCGGCTGTATTTCCGATGGAGGCGGAAATGTTGTAGGCCTGTGTGCTCAGATTTGGTTGCACGTAAAAGAACCCCAGGTGGTCGAAATTACCGGAGCCCTCCACTACGGCGTCTCTCATAGTCGTATGGTGGTTTTGGGACGTTAAACCTCACATATCAATCAAATATGTTCATGCCAGTTGGCACCTGAATAGATTAGCGCACTATTATCTTAGTAGGTCCAGGCTTTGCAGTTGAGGGTAGCGTATTCTTTATGGGCTGAATCGCCATTAAGGCCGCCATGCTATTCCCTGCCTCAACATCACCTGATGATTACCTTTAGTGTGAGCCAGTTCAAGCTGTTCAACATAATCGCACACTGCTCAGTTTTTTTTTTCAGATGAGACTGCTGTGACACGTTTTCTTACGCATTGGGACGGTTGTACTGAAAGAATACGACTGTTAATTGTAACTAACATAGGTAGCACTAGTTACGCACCGTATCGCTCTGACGGACAAATTTAGTGCACACCATAAACAGCGCTTAGTCATTAAAAATAAAAGTAAACAATAATTACGTCGTAAGATGTCCATTGAACACTTGCGACGTGCTATACGTTAACCATGTTCACTTCTAGTTTACTCAAGAAGGTGCTCTGAGTTCCGCAGTCAGACGGCGATTCAAGGTGTCACTGCAATATGTCCAAAACGTCAGTAGTCGAACGCGACGATAAACAACCCTCCTAAAGGTCTCACTGGAATCTTTGCGAGGAATGTACACACATGCAGATCGCGACTGGAAAGTACCTCGTGAGAAGTGCTAACGGAAGTGTGCACAAGATGGATGCGTCCAATATGAAGACGATTGAAGTGTGGCCTTCTCTCGCACGCTTTCTTCGGTGATTCTTCCTGTTTACTGGAAGAATATGTATATTTTTCATAATATATATAATATTTTTAAGAAGTATACTTCACAAATTTGACAGTCGTGTATCTGCACTTCTAATAAAGCAGTAGAAAGTAAAATTCTTGAAATTGCCGTAACTGCAGGTCACACAAACGAACGAAAGCTACCCGAGTGGAGTTGAAAGAGAATTCCAAGGCCACTGGTCACCAGTGCGAAGTCTGCGAAAAGGTTCTAGGCAGCAAGAGGTCCATGCGTAGGCACCTTCGCACGCACGGCGATCAGAAACGGTACTCGTGCGCTGTGTGCGGCAACAAGTTTCATCGGAGGGAAAATTTGGAGCGCCACGAGCGCATGCACACAGGAGAGAAGCCCTTTACATGTGACGTATGCGGCAGGAGTTTCACACGCAACAACCTCCTTATAAACCACATGCGGCGACACACGGGCGAGAGGCCGTACACTTGCAGTTTGTGCCCAGCAGCGTACGTCAGCAAGTACGGACTGACGGTGCACACGGCCAGTCACAAGCGCCAGGTGCCGTTCGAGTGCCTCCTGTGCGGCATGAAATTCGCCGCCAAAGGGAAGTTTCGGGGACACGTGCGCAACCACTCGCTCGAGAGGCCGTACGCGTGCCACCTTTGTCCCGCCAATTTCATCCAGAAGTACCACCTGCGAAGTCACCTGATCACGCACTCCAATGAAAAGCCGCACCAGTGCAACGTGTGCAAGAAAGCGTTCGGACGGCGTCCTGCACTCATGAAGCACATGCGCGTCATTCACGGTCAAAGTGGTGCGTCTTGAAAGTTCGCGGCGTTATCCTACTAAACGAGCAAGCAGACGTTCTTGGTGGAAACTGCTAGGCTGGTTGTTGTAATTTCATGTGGAAGTTCGTGCCAATTACTAGCGTACTTGTGATCACAGATAGGAGTGATACATGCTTGGGAAAAAAGGATAGGGAATTAGCTTTCATTATTAAAAAAAAACAATATGTCTACTTCGTAAACGCCTACGTTAGCAATTTCTAATTATCAGAATTTAAACGAACTGCAAAAAGAATATCAATGAAACATTGTAGGAAATAAATGCTTTCAAAAATTACCTATGTTGTGCAGTGCCCAGTTTTTACTTTGCTGTGTGCTTTACATGTGGTACATAAAGCATGAAAAAATTGAGATCGAAAAGTCATTTGCTTCTATCTCAAAATCTGAAGTTCCGCTACATGCATGAAAAATTTCATGTTTGATGTAGATTCTCAGTTCCCAGCACAGCGTATGCTCTTGTCAAAATTCCGCGGAAACGTAAAGTGTAGACAATGTACGATACGGTGTTTGCAGTAAATACACGTTATATCTTCAGATCGCGTTTACTGCTGCGGGATGCACTTCTGTGGCGATTTCTTAGGTTGTGCAGATCATGTACTCATGTTTATTTAGAATAATGGTGACCCTAATCAACATGTTCTCAAAATGAATATGAGATATTTGTAAACATCTAGAAGTTTCAATGGTCATGGCTACTCTATTCTTACCAAACAGTTCATGATTTCATCAATGCTGCACATCCACCACAATCCTACGTAACCCGAGTTTCAGCTCACTTTAGGTTTGATTTAAGTTAGGATGCTGTTGTACCTTACTTACGCTTACAATTCAGCTAAAGCAGGACATTATTGCAAGTTCAGCAAACTATTCAGCAAGTTCAGGAATAACTTTTGACATTTTTGGCACCATAAAAGCCTACAGAAAGTGGATGGAAGTGGCACAGGGTGAAAGCTAAGCAAAATTACAACGCTGTCCTCAGATGTACTTGGTGAGTCTCGTTGGCTTTAAACATTAAGTTTCGTACAATAATTCAGTGAGATAATTCTGGCGATGCAATCAGTCAGCCACTGTGGGAAACACGGATAGTAACCGAATTGGTCTAATTTCAAGCTGGCGACTTCGAATGCACTTGACTTTCTTTATTGCAGTGTTGTGGCGTTTGTTTCGATTAAAAAAAACAGATCTTGAACTTTGTGAGCCAATGCTATCTCGTAAGCCTAAAAAGATTAGGGTGGTGCGAAAGTGCTCAGTATCTGCTAAACATCGTCTTGCGACAAGGCCACTAAAAGCCACAGAGAGCCAAGCGAAGCTCAGAAAAATCACCGTAGCACGCACAATTCCCATGATGGCCGAGTTGCGATGTCTTGCTGCTACCATAGAAACTATCACCATATTTACCTCTACGTAACAGAAGCATTGAAGCTGTCATGCTCGGTCAAGAAGATTGAGGAGAATTGAGCTCATTTTCAATTGAGTGGGTCATTGCGATAGCGTCAAAGCGTAATCGAGACTTGGGCGCATTGCCTTTTAACTGCCGGCCTCGTTGTGATTATAGGTGCGTGCCTCAACCGTGCCGTAATCAAAGAACGAGTGTTTACATTGTTACCTTTCTTGATGCTCATGGTGATGATTAGGTATGTTTGAACGCTTTACAATGAGTAGGCCTTTGAAAGACGCACACATAGCGTAATTCAAATATTTCGACAGCTGACGTGATACTATACGTCTACTAAGGAATATATTAGGTGTTAGAGATACTTATTTCACCCATAAAATTTATATAGTTGTTTTTGAGTAGTTTCGAGAAGTTGCGTTGCTGTCTACCACAAATTCTGCTTGCCATGCTGACAGCGTGGATTTGATTTACATTCAGAAATGGACATGTTTACTTTATTGTTATCTTTCTCTACTTTCCGGACACAGAGAGCATGATTACTTTTCTCTCACAGCCAATGGCACCGACATTAACATCCCAGGCGGAACTGGTATGTTACAGCAAAACCTGCTATAGTGATCACAACAGGGAACAGGGGTCGCGTGTGCCGAAGTTGTCCGCCGCTGCCGCCGGTGTCTATAACCACTACTTTCTTTATTTATATTCCGCAAAATATGTGAAGTTAAGATATGCTAGAGCCAGCTATCCCAACATCATGACACAAATGAACAAGATAAACACAAAAATGCGAAAAGCTAGCACGCGAATTGAGAACATATAAGTAAAATAAAAACACCAAGGCCGCAATGGGATGTCACCGGCGTGCAAGCCCAGTATCCTACCTCTGAACTACGCTGGTGTTTCCAACTCTGTGGCAAACTACGCACAGAAGAAGGAAAACGAGCACTCAATTTCATCGGTCAACAAGGTGTCCACAGGTAAATGAGGATGTTGTAACTGCAGCCCCAAAGTGAAAGTTTTTGAGAACAATTCGGCTCTGCTAGACTTCAATGCCTCACTGTTTCTTCACAAGAGGAAAAAAAAGAACTTAATCTGAGCAGCACCAAAACACAATTTATGTAATATAAAGCACCGAGAAAGCCTCTACGTTGCAAAGACGATGAATGAAAGAAAAAAAACAACGCTGTTATATTTAAAGAATTCCAAAATACAATAGAAGCAGTGTGTACAAGTGAAAGCTATGAGACACTTGGCGAACGCTAGATACTCGGACAGCATGCATACATAATTTGTCTAGCATGATTGCTGAGATATACTTTGATCCCTGCTTGCGAATAGGCCCATACCTTGCAAGTAATGCATGGTGGACTAATAACTATTTCAAAGGGAAAATATGTGGCTGCGAGATGCGTTAGAGGAGAAATTACATGAAACGTGGCATTGGTTGGCACAAAGAAAACTCAAAACTATCTGCGTATTCTAGATCCTGGAGTTCTTGTGTCTTCCAAGAACGCTTTATTGAGGTAATTTGAAAGTGCACAACGCGAAGAAGCATTGATTGTGAGCTACATGTATAACATGAATTCTCATTTGCGAAGCATGCATCGATCCCAGGAAGGTAGCAAAACATTATGCGATGATAGCATGGAGTTGTATCCACAGAAAAAGTCAAGGTTCGACCCCTAAAGCGTTATTCTAACACGTTGACGAATGCTTTGTTGCTTTTAAAACATTAAATATAACGCTCCTAGACACTGCAACTGCTTTACTTTATGCGAGGCCATAGTTAGTCATTTTGTGAGGACAAATCATGTGCTAACACTATGCTTTGGTTTGCAGTCTTTTTTTTGCTATGATATAAGCTTTAGCTTTGATTTGGCGGCTAATGACGCGCTCCATATATAACCAACGTCTGCATGATAAATGATTTCTAATGGCTAGCCAACTCTGACACTTTCACACATCCAAGGGCTGTCTGCTGACTGAGAGAATACAATCAGGTACGTACCTAGTGGGTGGCACAGCATGCACGTGCCCGCCTTCTCCGGAATTTTTTACGCCATGGCGTGCAAAGCAAAAAATTATCATTTTAAGGGGGCGCCCTCTCCCGAAAAAGGTAGGTGGTGCCTCCCCCCCCCCCCCGAACAAATTTCTGGCTCCACCCAGGAACACAAGGCATATATTTATTGCCCAAAAGACGTTCATTTACATTAAGAGTGCCCTTGACGAGCATTTGCGATTTCATGGGTTAAATGAAAAATTAAGTAAGAACATGGTGAACCGTAGGTGCAATACTGTGCATTTCGCTGTCTTGGGTACCAGAATCCATTCACTAACTCAATGAGAAAGACAACAGTAGCAATGCCGAGTGACGTGGCCAGAAATCTGAAGAAAAAAGCAAGATCTGAAAATTGCTGGTAGTAAGCCTGCACTTTTGCGTCACGCGTGGTTTTGTGGCCAATCTCGCATACGAAAACTGCTTCGGTGGTTGTTGCAAAGAAGTTTCCAGTATTTGGCGAACGAAGTTATGGTATGCCTTCGCGTGCGGGTAATTCTTGTGAACCACAGTTGTCAGCATGAGCAAACCTAGCCTCTCCTTAGACTCGACGATTCCTTGCTGCGCTGTTCTTGTGACGCATTCCGACCACTTGTATTCAAAACAGACGCGGTTCTTTCGTTGGGCGCATGCCAGGCAACTGGTCGCGTTTTTTTTATAACATTAGAGTAGTTGGTGTTCATTCGGAAGGCCGAACGAAGCTTGTTGTGAAGGCTACTATTCGAATAGTTTCTCGCAAGCACGTGATACATCAAACCACCAGTGACCACGCATGGGGCGACGTTTCGCCTATTCAATGCTTCTTCGAGCTTCGGAAGCGTGTCTAGAGCGTGCCGAGGGGCGTCGACACTAAGCCTTGACGTTAGCTCACTCCGAAAATAGTTCGAAAGTGGGATTATGCCGAGTAACCAGGAACAGTACACGATAGTTCGGGTCAGTGTGCGCCTATTTAGGTGCGCGAAATGGCAACGATGTTGCGTAAAAAGATGCTAATAGAAACATGAAGTAATCTGAAATAGCGTCTATTGTCAAAACGCTGGTATCTTTCCATTCAGTGAGGCACAAGAGCAATTAACAAAGGCAAAGCGTTGTAACGAGTGGCGCAAAACCGATTTTAGACTCAGGAAGAATGTCAAAAAAAGACACCTGCTCCGCCTGGTCTAGTTTTGCAAAGAAAGTCTCGTACTCGAAGGAAATGATTGCCGGCAAAAAGTATGTGTGGACTGTTCCGTCGTTCACAGCGCCTAAATTACCGTAGATATCTTTGTAACTGTTTAAGAGCCCCGAAACCAGTGCACTTGCGTTTCTATAGGATGTTTTCTCTAGTGTGACATTGTAGTGGCTAAAAAAACTCCAGATAAAATCAGTCTTCCAGTTGTACAACCAGTCCTCAGTGCTGTCATTGGCATGCATTTCTTGAACCAATTATCCTACGCGAATGACGATGTTCCTTAGTTGGCTTTGTGGACCCTCAGACGTGCTGAATTCACACCGCAGGCAGCAGCCTTTGGAGTAAACGTGGAGAGGA